ATGAGTAGACACCCTGGTCCATTATGTCCTATAATTGAGAAAAAATTAGATTACATTTTAAATAATGCTATGGGCTGCATTTGTGAATGGTCATGTGGATCACAATTCCAAGTTAAAGGGCCATATGTTAAAACAGCCCACATAGGTACAACAACATCTATACTAAAATTAATCACAACTCATGCATAAATTGAGTCCACGTACCTTCCTTGCTCACAATTCAGATGGATACACACTTATTTTCCTTATTTCTCTCTTGCTCACCCTCCCTCACTCATGGTTCAGTGAAGAACCAAACACGCACACACACACCCCTAAACTTTAAAGTGCACACACACACACACCCTACACTTTATACACACACGCGCGGCATACACATACACAGCCCACTTAGCCCCCCTTTTTGACTCATCAACTTCTTCTTTAAACATGTCCAAAGTTAATTGAGTAATTACACTTGCTTCCTCCCAAGTTTTTAAGTGATTTCAAAATCGGTCCATTAGTATTTTTGCACATGAAATTCTATATATAGGTGTCACCAATACATCACTAACGGGGTTCACATACCCAACACATGTTTACACACATCATGGCTATGAAAGATTTAATTTAATTAACCCTTTAACAATTTATATAATTATAATTTAACCCAAAAAATTATGTTCATATGCATGCAATGCATGATCGGGTCTCAGACTGAAGTAGGTGTGTGGGTACTTGTTAGAGAACAAGTACACTAAAGATGACCATTGACTAACATAGGATTTTTCATATGCAGTTTTACATGTCTGTCAATGTTAAATCCTAAGGTTATAGTTATGCAACTGATCTTTAGACTTGAGACATCATGGTTGTCTTGTGCATGGACTTTTATGCTTTAACTATACAACATATTCATATACTAACCATGTAACTTGGATATGTATTGTTGGATATAGTTAGGCATGCATGAAGACTTATGAGTGTATAAAATAGAATCTATCATCCTTAGTAATTAAAGTGAGAATGTCCTATATGATCTTCTGGGATATGACTCAAAGAGTCCTTGGCCAAGGCAGAATGAAAATTAGAAAATAGTTTCTAATTGATCATTAAGAGTTGTAGTCCTAAGATCGAACACATAAGATTGAATTAGGGGTTTAACAGTAATTTTATATCCTAGTAATTCAATTGGTACATTGTGTAATAGAAGGATTGAATTACATGCCAACTATAGACTGAATGTGTTCTTTATGTACTTCATGTTATCCAGAGGTTGATCATGATATGCTGCTAAATGTCACTCATGATTAGTAGAAGCTCGAAGAATAAAATTAATATAAATATATTAATTGTTCTTCATAAATGGAGAATTAGAAGAGTTTTAATTCAAGCTAAATTAGAAAGAGTTCTAATTTGAGATGCTACTTGTAATTAGTATCGAATACCTACAACCGGGTATGCTTGAACCTATAGGGTCACACACAATAGAATTGATTAAAAATTAAAGGATAAAAGAGAGACAACCAATTGGGAGTTAATTGGGGTGAAAATCTAATTAAGAATTAATTAGAGACTTTATTACAATTAATGTTAAAGGGGTTATATATAATTATGAGATAATTGCAACTTGACCCAAATTAGGAGTAAAGCCTTTAAAGCTCTACAAATACTTTTATGTAGGAGGTAGATAATAGATATAACAATTCTCTTGCTAGTATAAGAAGAATCACCCCTCATTCTCTCTCTCTCTATTAGTTTATCAATAGTTGAAGTAGATTCTTCAAGTTTGTCAATTCATGTGATACCAATAAAGGCCAAACGTTTGCGAGGCTTAGGGTAAAGATCAAATTCATATTTAAAGATATAAAATTTTTGAGAATGCTTGAAGATTACTAAAGATATGCTTCAAAAGGTAACCCTTAATCTTCTCTATAGATTTAAGGTTTCTCGATTTATATTAAACATGAATAGATTTTGGTATGAGGAATCAAATTATTATTTTTAAATTCTGTTGCGTTTATTATATGATTTCTTTCACAGAGCTCTTTATACTTTATAAAAGAGGGAAGCTCTTGAAGATTTGGTGTCAAAATAGTTCCTATTCCCTTAATTACCCCTGAACCTTGCCTCACGTGAGCGATGCATGCATTTGTCTGTCATAATAAACAACTGAATTGGATGAAAGGGCTTGATTGACACACATTGATAAGTTAAGGGGCTAAATTGACACAAACCAAAATTGAAGGGCTTAATTGACTTAAATTGTAAATCACCACACTCTTATCTTTGTATAAAAACGCTATTATGTTTTAAAACTGGTAATATTTGTAATTTTGTATGCGTGAACTATGTGGATGGAAAGGGTAGAAATAAAAAGGGTTAGTTGAGGTAATAGGGTATGTTGTAGAAGTTTGAAAGTATTTCAAAGTAAAAGCATACTTTAGAGAGAATTTGGATAAAAAGAATTTTGGACACTGTCTTATATGTGGATCATAAATTTTTAATTTTATGTCCATTTGATCTGAAATTTTGATGGTAGATAGTAGACTTCAAGGGCTACAAAATAATATTTCATAAAAACTTTCCAAATCGACCTTTAAATAGGTCAAAACTCCATTGGAAGTTTCAGCAGAAACTGAGAGGACATTCGAATGTGAATGGACGTTCGAACGACAGTAAGTCCTAGTACTTTGGTCTCTACAGAGCTCTGATGGAAATGCAAAAATATTGGGAGCAACTAACGTTCGAATGTCAAGTGACGTTCGAACGTGAATCAATAAATTGCACTATTGACGTTTGAATGCCAAAGTGACATTTGAACATGAGTTACGAAATCTGGGTTTCAGAATCGCGCACAGGAGTTCATTTATTTTCCTATAAATTCTTAAGCACACATCTTTTAGCCCCATTTCAACACTTATAACCATAGGAAGTCTTAAAGAGGAAGAAAGGAGGAGAAAAACAGGAGATTGAGAGTTGATTCAAGTTTGAAAAAGATCAAATCTTCAAGTTCTTCACACAAAACTAAGGAAGAAGGTAAGGGTTTCCTTCCACTCTTGTCCATTGAGGCTAGGGTATATATATATGCTATGAAATTATTATTTCTTGATGCTCTTGCAAAGATTACTATGTTTTGATGGAAGCTATGGGTGAATAGCCATGAAATCTTTTCTTCTTGTCTTGGAAACTCTAGTTTTCAAGAAAAATATTTTTTCTCTCAATATTCCTTTGTTATTGATTTCAAAACTCTAGTGGTTGGTATTGAACAATATAATGGTATTGTTGATGATCTCTTGCTTATTTTCTCAAATTGTTTTATTGGAATCATATATGTGAAATTTGGGAATTTTTGATTTTTGCTTGTGATTCGAGGAATTGGGTTGTATTGTATCTCTTGTGGATGTTTGGATGATTATGGGTGACCGTTAATCTGGTATCGTAGAGTGGTGTAGATGCGTTTCTTACTCCGTGTAGGTTTGAAAGTTCCTTACCACTCGCAGTGAGGTTGGTGCCTTGCGATGACCAAACCACTATTTGCTCACGTGTTATCGAGACTGAGGGTTAATATACTACTCCTGGATTGGATTTGTCATTGCCAATGCGTTGGTATACGCCCTTCCTAAAAGTTGGATATTCTTGCGAGAATTGGATGTGTGTGTGTGGGGGTCAGGATATTCTCGATGTGTTTATTCATGCGATGTCATACATCATATTTGAGATAAAAGTTATACATATACATAATGTTGTGAAAGATACAAGTTGTGGCTTGATATACATTGTGGGTAATAGTACAAGTTATGAGTTATTGGTTACTGTTGTGGAAATGGCTTATTGTTGGAATTAGTTTTACTTCTTCATTTTATATATCGAAATTGCGTAAACTTGAGATCGGATTTCACTGTTTTCTTTCAAACATTATATATGATATTTATGAAATAAGACCGACTTATTTTATATGTTTTCAAAACCTTGTCCAAATTTGAGAGAATTTTTCTACAAAGTTTAGTGCTCACCCACTACAAACAATCCTTATTTTCAGATTTTGATTTAAATGAAGAGCCCCGAGTTGACGAGTAGGTGATTTAGAAAGCTCAAGTTGATGAACATGTGGATCCAGAGGGGGATGTCTAGAATTGTTGTTTTTATGTTCTAGAATAAGAGATTCATTTTTAGACAATGTAAAGTCTAATATTTTTATTATTCCGCTGCAAGTTAATAGTTAATTTTTAGGATGTAATTGTCATGATTTGACATATTCTTTTGGATGATGTTATAAATATTATGAATGATGAATGAAATCTTCTTTACTTATGGGTCATATTAGTTATTCTCATGATATGAATGGTCTTAGATAGTAATATTGTCCAAAATGGATTTTTGGACATTACATAAATCATATAGTTTAAGGGCTAAATAGGTAGTTAACTCATGATATAGTCGATACTTGTGGTAAAATAATCCTTAAATAGCGAGGGAAAAAACCATTGATTATCCAAACATAAGGTGCCGAAATACATCCTACGATCGCATCCCATAAATCTACCAAAGAAATCATACAATCATGATCAAAAATAATTCTTTTGTAGATAGCAATTACGGTAACATGAAAACATTTTACACTTCCCCTTTAACCAACAAAGACATATTCAATGCACAAAATTTCAGTCATTGTAGAGTCTATTAAAAATTAAATATACACAATCTTACCTCCTAAAAACAAAGATTATTTCCACGACTCAACCCATGAACTTTAAATCACAATAAAACAATTTTATCATTGTATCAATGCCTAATCTATTTTTATGATTCATGAATTATCATGAACAGTAAGAGCCAATGATCCAATAATACCATCTAAGCCAATATACTCTTAATCAAAACAAGAGAGCATAGTCTAAGATTTCAGTTAGGTTGAATAACCTGCCTCAGTCAACTTTTAATCAATAATTAATCACATGGTTCAAGCTGCTCTGGAGGAAACCTGTAACAACTTTTATTCCAATCAAAGCACTCAACCACAACATCCCAAATACCATGTAAATTTGAAATTTCAATATACAAAAGCAATTGCACAACCAACAGATGACATTAGAGTACAAACAATTCCATTTCATTCACTTCAAACAGAAGATGTTATAACAAAAGCAGAAAAATCTAAAGTTAATAACATCCTAGTTCATGAACACCATACAGCTTTTCTACAATCAAAACAACAGAAACTGAAGTTACAAGCTTAGGCATGATATACAATCACAAATTACTCTAAATCTAAGCCACTAAAAAGATTAAGCCTTCTTAGGGGATTTGGTGGCCTTAGATGGAGATTTAGTGGGCTCCTTTCCAGCCTTTTCCTGCTTCTTGGGGAGAAGAACGGGGTTGATGTTTGGAAGCACACCTCCATGAGCTATTGTCACACCAGCAAGAAGCTTCCCAAGCTCTTCATCATTCCTCACAGCCAACAGAACATGCCGAGGGATGATCCTGTTTTTCTTGTTGTCTCTTGCTGCATTTCCAGCCAACTCTAGAACCTATCACAGTCATAAACGCCAGAATCAAATTCACATTATGCATAATAATGAAGTATCACTAAGAGACCATGTTCAACTGGTAACAAACTACAAGTCAAGATACCATTGAGTTTTAATTTTGCTATAAGAACATAAATCAAGCAGTTTACAAGTAAAAAAAAAAAAAGGAAAGAAAAAAAAATAACAAATACTTAAACCCACTCCAAACTTACCAAAACTAACATACTAAGTCGGTCCAACATTATCATCAAACATTTTTTCAACATGGTGCCAACATCAACACCAAATTCAGATCATACCAAGTTCATTAGCATGTAAACTGTGACACAACAATGGTAATCCTAATAATGTTGGATTATTATTATGCTCTTGAATGCAACAACTAAACAATTTCTTGCATTTAATAACAAGAAATACCTATACAAAGCCATACAAACAATGCCCAAGACATCAAACTTCAAAATTTTGACATTTCTACCCAGATAACACAAACAAAAGGACATCCACACCGAATTAAACTACAGGTACCACCAGCATTGCGTGTCAAAAAATTCAAAAAAAAAAATACAAAAAACAACAACATAAACTACACAAACGATCTATAATTTCCATTATTTGCCAAGCAACCCAAAAATATAAAGACCGGAACAACATAAAAATCAAAACACTAAATTGGTAAAACATTCGAACAGACCAATGATTTGCTCCGAATATAAGCTCAATCGAAACTAAAGAACAAAACCCAGTACCCATATTCAAATTCAACCCAAATATACACAAAATCGAAGAAGAAAAAATTCCACAACCAAAACTCTAAACATTCAAAACAAAAACAACTCAAATTCCACATTAAGACCATAGAAATTATCAAAACTAAGTAAAGCACACAGATATAAACGCATGATCTAGAGCGAAAAGGGAGAGATTAATAGTACCTCAGCAGCGAGGTACTCAAGAACAGCGGCGAGGTAGACAGGAGCACCGGTTCCAACGCGCTGAGCGTACCGTCCTTTCTTTAAGAACCGTCCGATCCTTCCGACAGGGAACTGCAGACCGGCTTTAACGGACCGGGAGACCGGCTTCTTCTTCGGACCACCTCCTCTTCTTCCTCCGGCACCTTTTTTCATTTTCCCACCAGTTTCCATTTCTCCAACGATTTACCCGACAACCAAACAGCTGAAATTTGAATAATGGAGAAGGGTTTTGGTTCGTCCAATGCAGTGGAGAAATTGGGCTATAAATGGTGATGTTGGTGGTGAGTGTCCCGTTTCGGATTGAGGGGGTTGGTGAGAATTTGGGATCGTTCGATTGGGTTTGATCGACGGATGATTGGTGTGAGTTGGGGATCCGTGTGCTCTGGAATGGCCAATCAGGTGTAAGGAAAAGGAATTCAAAGGGAATTTTATAGGATAAATTGCACCAATGTTCCCTTAAGTTTGCTAATAATTGAAATTTTCCCCTTAAATTTCTAATGTGCTTAATTTGTTTCTCTACCTTTACACATTGAGCAAATGTGATCCCTACCCCGATCTGTCGAAGATGAAAAAATAGCACTTGCACAACCCGTGGATTATAGAGGGGATAAGGGTAATTTCGGCTTATTGTTCGCTGCCATTCAACCAGAAGTTGCCCAAATAACATTTCATACCATGCATGCCACCCACGAGAATGAAAACCATAACTTGCCTAATGTTTTTGGGTGGGGCTATTTTTATCTCATAAATATTCATCCTCACTTTATTTAATTTTTTAGTAAAAATTGGAAGTGAGTTTTTTTAGATATATATATTTAGAGATAAATCGTGCAAGAAAACTTATAAGAGGTTAAATCTATGTTTAAAATTATATGTAATGAGTTAAGTTCATTTTTTTTTTGAATCTCAAAAATATCCTTCCTTGAAAGGTGGTTAAATTAATTTTTTATTTTAAATATAGTTATCCCTTAATTCAATGTCAATTAAAATATGTCAATAAAATCACCATCATAAATTTAAAATTCAAATTCAAAGCTCTCTCTCTCTCTCTCCGACTAGCTAGTGGCGTTGTTTCATCAATGTTCATCTTCTACTTTTCTATGAATTATATCAATTTTGTGGGTAACGGATGAGAATCTCTGGTCTATAATTTTTTTTTTTTGTAATCTATGTTATTTTTCGTGGGGGTTAATTTGTTAAGTTGAATGTGTTATGTTATTATTATTTTTATTATGTTACTGTTCATGTTACCGCTTTTGTTGAGTATGTTACTGTTCATATTACTATTATTTTGAGTATGTTACTGTTTTTGAATATGTTACTTCTATTATTTTACTAAAAATTAATATTTAATGTTACTATTTTTTTTTTGAATATTACTATTTTTTTTTGTTAAGTATGTTATTATTTTTGTTGAACATGTTAATATTTTTGTTAAACATGTTACTATTGTTATTTTTTAAAAATATTAATATTGAATGTTTCAATTTTTTTATGTTTAAATGTTACTATTTTTTGTGTTTAAATGTATTATTTTTTGTGTCCAAATAATAATTTTTTTTTGTATTTGAATGTTACTAATTTTTATTTTTAATGTTACTATATATATATAACCTATATATAAATATAGATAGATATGAGAGAGAAAAAATTTTAATGTTAGTCAAATTTTTAACCTATATATGAATATAGATACATGTGAGAGAAAAAATTTTTAATGTTAGTCAAACTCCTAAGATTTAGCAGTTTTTAATTTTTAGTTTTATTTTACTTCTAAAAGGAAGGGATAATACGATAAAATTGAAAAAAAATGGATTTCATAACAAATAAGTTTCCTTGACGGACTTAAATCCAAATAAGTCCATATAGGAGAACTGACCTCCAATTTTTTCAATTTTTTATTATCAAAATTCTGAGCCCTTCTATTTTATATCCACCACATTAATAACTAAGTCAACATCTATTTATACTACTATAAAATGTCAATAAAAGTGAAATATTTTTAATTGACTATAATAACCCTAATAAAATACGTAATATCATCTATATCCTATCTTTTAATATTCTATCTACGTTATTGTTCTGATGAAAGTGAATAGGCTCCCCTTTTTCTGTGATACATATGTTAATTAGTCATACTAAATACCTTTCTCTCCCTCTTGTTCTTCTCTCTCGCTCTTGCCTTGGTGACGGTAAACCTTCGGCAGCCCTCAACACGTTAGTATCTCTCTATCCCTTTATAAATCTCTCACGTTAATCAGAATTACCATGAGTCTACAAACAAAATTTCTTTTGTTTTGTATGAAAATAAAATTGTTCAATTGGTTAAAAGTTTTGGTAAATAATTGAAGGTCATACTGGCTTTCTCTGTGTAGAAGTTCAAATGTTCTGATTTTAACTCTTAATGTCAAAGTGGACTCTTGTTCATTGAGGTCAAGTTGGCTATCTGTTTGTTGATCAAATAACTCTCCTGATGTGTTTGTGACAAACAGACACATCAGTTGCGGGTTTAAATTTTAATCTGGTTAATTTGGCTATGTAGAGTGATATCATTACAATGTTTTATAGATTATTTTTCATGTTTTGCAATTTTCAGAATATCCTAATGAAGCAATGTTGATTCCTAAAAATACCTATATTTTAATTTGTTGTGTCCCAAGATGTCCTCGCATGCCTGTTGTTAGTACACCATGTTCTTGAACAAGACAAGTATTATCTTAATCCTTTAACCATCATACCATATTTTCTTATTTAGGAGAAACATGATGTCAGTGATAAATAAGGTATGTTGTTTCTTCCATAGCCCATGTCTCAAGTGGTTATGTGGAATAGTCGAGAGTTTGTGACTATAAAAACTGTTAGCATAATATAAGATCCTCAACCGTGAAACAAATTACGGATGTTTAGTAGAGTTTGGTCTTGATGCTTTTTTTTCCATTAGAGGATGTCAAATCAGAAAAAAGTAGCTTCTTGGGCGTTGATTTATCTCTTTGGTTTTAGACTATGGAGCTGATTTATCTCTTTGGTTTTGGACTATGGAGCTAATTTATTTATTTTTTTTTTGGACTACGGGGCTGATTTATCTATAATGACGATCTCCTATTTTTGAACAATTTTTTGAATTCGCCTTGAATGCTAATAGAGGATAGTGTGACGGCTAATGCACTAGATGGCAAGCCTGATGAAATTATAAAACCTAATAATGTGGAAGAAGGGAGGTGGTATCGTTGACAATGTAATTACTACATTGTGTGTTAGGTATGTGATTGCCTATTCTAACCAGGTGCAAGTATTTTAGTCTTTACATTTTTCATTTGTTTTTTCTCCAACTATCATTTTGTAATAATTTTCATGTTATTATAGAAGAATTGTATGTAGATGTAGTGTAAGAATTTGAAATTGATTAAGTGCTTTTGCTAACTTTAATGAATAAATGTGGATAAATTAGCAAATTCTATTATCCATAGCCGTATAGCTATTGTTACTATTAACACCTTTCCCCGATCAGTTCAATAAAATAAGTTACTTAGGAGCACATGTACGTAAATTTAGTATGAAAGTTTTGTTTTTCGTTTTTGAGTAACAGGCATTATTTGGAAAATGGTCTCTCTTTTTTTTAGAATTCTTAAATTCATAAAAATGGTTAGGTGTCTCGAGAGATGGTTCCAAGATGTGGTGCATAATTACCAATACAGGGTTTAGTAGTGTAACAGTAATTTTAGCAAGAATAGTAATCACTACATGTAAGCATATTTAATCTCCAAGGCTTTTATTTATTTATTTATTTATAAACTTCTTGAGGATGGATAGGGTGATAACTATTTGATGGCAATTTTCAGAGCTGGACAACATCCACCACCAAAATGACCATGACATGCATGTAAGGTATTTGATAAAATGAGCTCTTATATTTTGAGTTGTTGTTTGAAGAACACATTTGGTGCCCTCAATTGAATTATCGGTTCGTCCTTGTTTTGCTTCTTTTGTACTTTGCTAAAGTCCTAGAGACAATGAACACCACACAAGAGACACCATAGGTTTATTGAACATTATGATGTGCGAGCCGCAGAAAAAGCAATTAGGTCCTTAAATAGGAGTGACATTGCTGAGAATCGCATAAACCTCGAACCTAGTCATTCTAGGGGAGCATGTCAAGGGGCTATTTTTGGGCCATTTGTAAAAGGGGGTTTAATCAAAATAGTCAAATGGACCAGTCATACATGTGTTTGTTACCGAATTTGAGGCTCAGGATTCAAATCCCATACGTCCGGTGGTGAACAATGTCGCCAGATCTATATACATGGGTTTCACCAAACCTAGGAGGTTCATATCTATTAACCTAGGATAAATAGGTGAGTTGATCATTGTATCCCTAATAAATCATTCTATCTACCCAAAATCATTTTTTAAGCCCCCAACTACTCCCCTCTTTGAACTTAAACAAACATGAGTATGGATTGAATTGACCAATAGGCAATTTAGTCAATTTGCATGATAATTTTTGGTTATGATTGTTACCAATCCGTTGTATTAATCCCATGTACAAAATAGGGGGTTGAGTTTGGGAAGGGTTTCTTAAAACCAATCCAATTGTTCCTTGAAAAATCATCCAAACATGCCCTAAAAGTGTGCACTGATAATTTTTAGAAATTTTTGTATTAAGCTTTGTGTTGTCCTCATTTTGATCAGTTTGTGACATCCCTTGAACTAACCTCATGAGGTGAATATTATTATTGATTATTCCAGTATTGCCGTACATATGAAGTTGGTGTTGTTCCTCAAATGCTCTCAATAAAATTGTGGTTGTCTCTAAGAAGATTTTTTTAAGTTATTTTGGATGTACATTTTATCTTTCTTACTAGGAAAAGTTATATGGTCTCATTAGTGTTTGTTTCTTCATGCACTCATATTGCCCTTAAAAATGTTGGTTTGTCTGCAGAGGAATCAGGATAATTAGATTGCGCATTAATAAACCTTTAAGGTTTATGGTTAATCTGCACTGAGTGATGCAACTGAATAATGATTGGGCAAGGTTAGAGAGTCCATTAGTACTAGTATAAATTTATCTTCGAAGAAGAGAATAACAATCTCATGATTAACCAGAATTTTGTCTAAGTTGCAAGCTATTCTCTACTTGCTTTTATATATTGAAATTAAATTTCCTCTCCAATAATCTGTCTCTCTCAGTCTTCCAAAATGGTGACATATCTTGGACGCAGGAAATTATTAAAAATTACCAAATAGATAATATGCTTCTTGTTTATTTCTAAAGCCAAATAAATACTCATTTTCATCAATTTTTGTTTGAATCTACTTTTGGTTAGGTGCTCATGAACTCTGACAAACCACTAGCAATGCAGGCATGCAGTTAGAATG